CCTCGGGATCTGTCAAAGTTTATTATCGAGGAGAGGTTTGCGCTCCTCGTTTATGAGCGTTATCGCCTCCATCGAAAGAGAGAGACAAGTTGTTCTCCGAGATGGTAGAGTAGTACGAGCCTGCAAAGCATTCCAGGTGCAGGGAGCTAAAGGTTGGCCGGGCGTCGCATTTCGTTTTCGTATTTCACATTTCCCTTTCCTCTGTTACTTGCTAACTTGCATTTTGTTTGTGCAGAAGTTGATATGGACATAAAGTCCCTTCTAGCGACTTCTCGTCAAGTGTTATTGGCCAAGAAGAAGGCCAAGTAGGAGGAGACCGCTACTTAGAAGGTGCAGAAGGCAACTGATGCATAGAAACGCTCAAAGAGGCCACCATCTGACATTGCCCAAGCTTCCAACTCTGAGAAGGCCAAGGGTGTGGAGGGCCAGAAGACGTTGCAGGAGGCCGACCCGTTGGTGAAGAAGGCTGTTACATATCGGGACCCTAGAGGTGCATACTTTCAGTGATGATGTCATCTCGATAGATGTGATCGGATCGATGTGGATCAGCTAGCTCCGTATGGCACTCAAATCTATCCCCCACCACTTCAGATGAAACAGAAAGACATATAGTCTGAGGGGATGTTAGAGGGTCTCTTGGTGAGGGGCCTTTTGACGATGTTGCTTTCAAGGTCCCTGCTGGCAGGAGCGTGATTATATTGATGGGATTGATACGTTTGTAATTTCCGTGTGTTTATTTACGTTTTTAGTTAGTTTTGATTGTTTAGTATTTCGGAAATTACACACTTTCGGTGTAATAGTTTAGTTTGTTAAAATTCTTGTAAATTGTTTAGATTAGGTTTATTCTGAGCTCAAACACGTCTATCATCACTCAAAGGACAGTTGATGAACCCCAAAAGTGGAAGGAAGGTGCAAAATCACAAGACAAAAAGGGAAGATCCTGATTTTGGTCTATACTCGGTCGAGTATTACCTATACTCGATCGGGTATCTTGTTGAAATTTCAAATCGGATCGGATCCGAAAACAATGGAACATGCAGGGAAGATTTTACCACGATCGAGTGTCTATACCCGATCGGGTACACCGACATACTCGATCGGGTATAGCTATATATTCTACTCGAATATCGATCGAGTATGGATCGAATTCGAGTTTCTACACATACTCGATCGAGTATCTGTATATACTCGATCGAGTACCCGACCTGCACCCCAAAAAGTCCTATAAATACACCTCCTTTCCTTCACTTTTAGATACCAATTCCTATATACTCTTAACTCTTAAGCTCAGTTTAGAATAGCATTTCTTTATATTTCTTTTAGCATGTTTAGTCTCCAAATGAGGAGCTAAACTCTCAATTCTTGGTATTGCTCTTGAAGCTTGTTGATTATTAAAGTTGTGAGTTATTTTCTTAACTTCTTTCCTTGAATATTAATTCTTCCTTTAAATACTATTTCTATATCAATGTTGGGGAGTGTTACTAAGATGACAATTAGTTAACATCTTGACATTGGTCTTAGTAATAGCTATTCTTCCTCTATGTTAATATTGGGGAGTGTTACTAAGATGACAATTAGTTAACATCTTGATATTAACTATAGTAGGATTCATTTTCTTTAATATTCTTCCTTGAGTATTAATTAATTCCTATTCATATTTCATATTGATATTTTGAACATTACTTAAAGGATCAACTAGTTTTGTTTCATATATTAATTATTACTAGAAACGATCAACGAACCGATGGTTAATCGTTGGTAGTTTCATAAGTAAGTAACTTCGGTTTATTAATGCACGGTCGTGGTTAATAAACTTAAGAGGGATTAATTTTGTTGGTTAAACCGAAACCGTTGTGTTGAGGTTATCAATCTCAATTGATTTCATCAAGGAGTTAAAAGATTAAATGCTACTATCAAGTCGGTATATGGCGTTGTTCTATACTTGACTAATAGTAAGGGTTATTAATGAACGGTCGTTGTTAATAACTATCCTCGATGAATTGGATATACTCCTCGATTGAGTATTCGAGAGGAGATAAGTTATAGATATAACAATGATCGACTAAAATATATCAACAAGTGTAAAGTAGCAATACCAAGTCCCTTTTATCTTTGAATTAAACAACATAACTCGTTCATCTTCGTGTTTAATTTTAATCAAATCACTCGATCAAAACCCCCCCTTTATTTACTAGTTACATAAAAAGAAGAGTTATTCCTTTCCCTGTGGATACGAACTCTACTACGCTATACTACGTATTAGTGCTAGTATTGAATATTATTTTGAGTGCACACACGACAGAGTGCACGTCAGGGACCATCCATTGTCATGAGCTAATCGGCTGCTCCCTCCCCCGCTGACCAGGAGGCTTTGAAAAGATTTAATGGTGAAGCCCTCTATTAGAACAGAATGCATGATGTTGCCAGAGTAATTCCTCGCCCCCCTCGTTGTTATATTTGCATTGGTTTGTTAGTGTTAAGTTTTTACTTTTAATTACACTTTTTACGGTGTGTGTCTTTGTAGTCATTTCACATTTACGGTGCAATCATTTATGTTTCTAGGTTGTTGTAATTTAGTAAATTTAGAATAATTCTGAGAAAGAATCAATCAAGGACTAACAAAGGATCGTGGAAGGGATGTTACAAGATCAAAGGAAGGTGCAAGGAGCAAGAAATCATGCAAAAATTGATATAGTGTCACATCCGATCGAGTATGATTTGACCCGGAGATAGATTTACACGATCAAATAAAGTAAGAAAACATGGGAAAATCAAATTTGGTGATATACCCGATCGGGTATATTGACATACCCGATCGGGTATAACTAGATTTCAGCACTTTCATAGCTACTGCCAAGGATACCTAGTCGGGTATCCTATGATACCCGGTCGGGTATCCTATATACTCGGTTGGGTATCCGACCCAATCTCACCAAAACACCTATAAATACACCCATTTTCCTTCCCATTTTGACATTCCCTCTTCCATATGCTTAAGCTCAAATTAGAATAGTATTTTCTTTATATTTTTCTAGCATTGTTAAGTCTCCAAATGAGAAGCTAAACTCCCATATATTTCTTGGTTTTGCTCTTGAAGCTTGTTGAATGTTTATGTTGTGAGTTATTTACTTAACTTCTTCTCTTGAATATTAATTCTTCCTTTAATCTTATTTTAATAATGTTGGGATGTTACTAAGTGATGATTATTTAACGTTTCGACATTAATTACTACTAGAAACGATCAATGAACTGATGATTAATCATTTATGGTTTCATAAGTAACTTAATTCGGATCATTAATACTACATGGTCTCATGGTTAATAATCTTAAGAGGAATTAATTGTGTTGGTTAAACCGAAACCGTTGTGTTGAGGTTATCAAACTCAATTGATTTCATCAAGGAGTGAAGAGATTAAATGCTACTGTCAAGTCGGTATATGGCGGTGTTCCATACTTAGTTAATAGTAAAGGTTGTTAATGAATGGTCTTTGTTATTAGTAACTACTCTTGATGAATTGGAGATACTTCTCGATTGAGTATTCGAGAGGCCATAAGTTATAGATATAATCGAGACAACAAACATATCAATAAGTGGAAAGTAACAAAGCCAAGTCTTTTATTTAATTTATTAAAATTATATAATTCGTTTATCTTATTATTTTAATTACTATATCAAATCAACCTTAAACCCCCTTTAACTACAAGTTTCATAAAAGAAAAGTATTTCTTTCCCTGTGGATACAAACCTTACTACGACATACTACGTATAAGTGTTGGTATTGAATTTATTTTGAGCCACACAACGACTTTAGTGCCGTCGACTTTTTATAAGCATAAAGCTTGGGCAATAGTATAAAAACATCTTTGCGTAAAGGAAGTTCATTTAAAAGCAAACGTAAATCTATAATAATCACCCATTCAAAACGATAAATGTTTATAATTCGAATATCATAAAGTCTTAAATAGAGAACACCAACAACAACATCCAAGTCTTATTCCTAAAAGAAAAGTCTTAAATAATAGAGCACAATGGTCTTAAATTAAAATTATCCAACAAAACATTGAAACACAGTAATGGCAAAATTAACTTTCAGCCGGGTCGGGTACTTTCGTGTTTGTGATTTTAATACTGCAACCCGACCCATTAGATGCGGGTTCGTACATATTTAACCCATGAATATTTTTTAAAATCAAATACCCAATTACAAATGGTCAAGTAGGGTAGGGTCGGGCGAGTTATGTGAGTTGAGTTATTCTTGTGCAGCTCTACTTGATATTAAATGAGATTTGAACCATTTACAACTCCCGCCAAGTGGGTATATATACTAGCAATTAATGAGGAGGTGCATTACACCACATGTGTTGACTCTTTTATGGGCGAGAGCCATGTGGCGCGGTAGAACTTGACACATGTCTTTCTCCAATTAACTTCTGCCACATGTTATATGTTGGCCGAGGTGCAGGGGTGCACCCCGGTTGTGGTGATGTCCTGTCTGGGACCTTGGACGACCGAGGTGATAGGTCCGAGGTGGCATCCGAAATGTCTGTATGGACAAAGAGCGTATTTCTTCATTCTGGATTGGATTTGGTTGAGAGACCCCAAGTAGTGTGATGGGCTTGTGCCATTTGTGTATATATTGTGACACAAATTATTCGTCACATAAAGTTTTAGTGATAAAATTAAATTTTACAAGACGAAAAGAATTGTGACATTATGTCAAGATTTAAGTAGAAAAATACTTGGTACCTTCTAAGATACAACTTACATGGGAGACGACGAAGAAGCTAGACAAAGGGATGTGAGGCATGCAGGTATCCGCGAGCGAATTAAACTGGGTTGGTAGGGCTGATAACCGGCTTAATACTACCTCCCTTCTTAAATAAATGCAACACTTTGACTTTTATACTATTCACATGTTCTACTTTGACTACATTTTATTTATTAATGTAATAATATTATTTTATGAAAAAAATATTGTTAAACTTGTCTCATTGTAAATTTTCATAATCTAATTTTTAAATTTTTTTACTAATACAAAATCATGTATATTAATGGTCAAAGTTATGTCTCGGCAAATATGAAATGTTGACCGTTGCATTTATACCCTACGTCAAAGACCACGGCAAATACAGTTGGGGGATGAGTTTAGACTAACGGAGATACAGGTCGTTGATTAAGCGTAATGTACAAGTGAACTAAGCTACACAACTACCCTTAATTAAAAAAAATATAGCTAAAATAAGTCTACACTCATTGACCTTTATTAGTTTTTATATGTAAAGAAGAAGAAAAGTGTTAGTTGTTGCCCAAATCTAATAAATAAACGTTAGTTTTTGAGTTAATTATCCTTTTAGGACTAAAAGAGGGGCGGAGTTCACAAATAGGACCGGAATACAAAAGTAAGTTTCGTAGGACATATAATTATCTATTTGGACAAAAATGCCCCCATTCAATTATTGTTTGAATTTTTAAATTAAAATCTAATGAAGCCCAAATTCTCAACAGCAGTTCCGCGACCCTCGGTGCCACTGCAGCTTGCCCCCTACCTTGTTGGCGTTGCCTTCTGCCGTCTCACCGGTGCTGTTTGCCGATGTCTTGCCGGTGCCGCCTGCCGCCTGCCGCCATCTCGCCGGCATCGTTTCTGCCGCAGCCACTGCGGCCGATGCTGCCGCCCACACCGGCGTCGCCCCAACCACCACTGTCATCCTCCACCACCCATTCTGGACACCTTCCTCTCTGTCACCAAAACAACCATGAGAGTTAGATCTCGAAGCCACCACTCCAACTCCAAACACCACCATCACCTCCACAACACCAATGACACAAATCTGCCATTAAGTTAACAGATTTGGTCTTCACAGTCATTTAAATCTTCCATTTATATGGACTCCTAAATCTGCCAACGAAACTGCCATAAATTTGACAAATTTATCTTGGAAATTTAAATCTTCCATTTGTATGGACTCTTAAATTTGCCAACAAAACTGCCATAAATTTGGCAAATTTATCTTGGAAGAATAACATGAAACTGCCATAAATTTGGCAAACATATGAACTCAACAACCAAATATTCAAAAAGTAATTTTTTCAAAGGAATAAACACTTTCTTACAAACGAAAATCACAAATAAGCAACTAATGACAAAAAAATCAAAAAAAACGATTTCCACAAAAATCTGTTCTGCCATAATCGATTGTCAGTGTGCACATTTCTGCCATAAATTTGGAAAATTCTTATGCCATCATCCAATATACCAGCAAAATAAGTTTTTTTTAAAAAGTAAAATTCTGAATGGGAAATACAAAATAGAGATCCAAAACTCGACCAAATGAATGCAAAAGCTTATAAAAACAAAAGAATATGAGTAAAATCTGAAAAATCAAAATCAAAAGAACAAGAAGAAGTCGTGGTAGTTTAAGAAGAAGAAGAAGGAGAAAGAGAAAGAAAAGGAGAAGAAGAATGGAAGTCAAAACCTGAAATTCGAAGGAAAATAAAGACGATAATGGTGAAAGGTGGAGACGATGAAGGTGGAGGCGGCGAAGTTGGCCTGTGATGAAATCGGAAATCCACGCAAGGGAGAAGGTGAGATGCGGCTGGGCTGAGCCTTTGGTCGCGTCTGGAGAAAGCAACGATCTATTTGGAGAGAGAAGCTCCTAGAAAGGGGTAAATAAATGCAGGGGTAAAAATGAGATGCTAATTTTAGTATGTTTCAAAATAGGAGTAGATTAGTCCTATTTGAGAATAAAAACATAAAAGGTCCTATTTTTGATTTTCAGCTCACTTTTAGTCCTATTTGAGTTAATTTCTGTTAGTTTTTTGTTTATTTGATCGAGTTGCAAATTTATTAAGCTATTTGAAATTTGAAATTTTCATAACACATTTGTATTTGTGATTTTGTGAACGTAGTCTTTGTTAGTCTATAAACAATTTTCTTTCGGTTCACGCGCGACATACGCTTATTATCGATACCTTACAAAGGGTTTAATTTGTATTTGTGAAATATAAATTCGACACATGTGATTTAAAAAATGTGTTAAATCCTCTGTATTATAATTAATCACGCGACAAACCCCCTCCAAGAACAAATTTAATTTCCAAAAAAATGAAAAATGGTTAGTTTTTTTGTATAATTTAGAAATTTTGACAGAGTTACTTGTATATTCAACTATATTATTAAAAAAAAAGTGATTTCAAAATTGTAAAATTTATTCTTGGAAGGAGTTTTTGCTCATGATTAATTATAATAGGGTTTGACCCATTTTAAAAAATAAAGGAACATCAGTGAGCATTGATTAAAACCACGCTTCAAAGCTAAGCTTAGAAGACATAATTAATGAATTGGACGTACTAGAGACATATCGTGGCCTTTAAACAACAAGAATTGTGATGGAATTGTTACACCATTATGCTTACTTTCATTGTCACCTTTCTCCTTTTACTGTCTTCTCAGCCAGCCACGGTGCTCTCCGCCAAATGCAGCACCAGGGCCGCCACCGCCGCCGCGAAGACCAGCTTCAAGAAATGCACCTCACTTCCTTCTCAAGATGCTTCCATAGCGTGGACCTTCCACCACCACAATGCCACTCTTGATATCGCCTTCTTCGGTTCCTTCATCTCTCCCTCCGGTTGGGTTGGATGGGGAATCAACCCCACCTCCGCCGAGATGGCCGGCACACGCGCGCTCATCGCCTTCCCCGACCCCAACTCCGGCCAGCTTGTCCTCTTGCCCTACATCATCGACAACACCGTCAAGCTCCAACAGGCTCCCCTCCTTTCCCGACCGCTCGACGGCATCCACCTCCTCTCTTCTTCTGCCTCCATGTACGGCGGACGCATGGACACTATCCACGACGGCGCCACCGTCGAAATATACGCTTCTGTGAAGCTCGCCCCCAACAAGACTAGGATCCATTTCGTGTGGAACCGGGGGCTGTACGTCCAGGGCTACTCCCCCACAATCCACCCCACCACGGCCGATGACCTCTCCTCCATCTCCACCATCAACGTCCTCACTGGCGGTACCTCCGCAAAAAGCCACAACCGCGATTTCACGACGCTGAAAACCGTGCACGGTGCCATGAACGCCGTGTCATGGGGAATCATGCTCCCAATTGGCGCTGTCACGGCGCGTTACCTCAGACACATACACTCACTGGGTCCTACATGGTTCTACGTCCACGCAGGTAAGACATCAATCATTTTTACTTCCATGTAGTATAGATGACGGTATCTCACATTGTTCTCATAGTAGTACTTTGTCACGCTTTTGAAAAATATTGTCATGTTTAAAGTGACATGATACCAAAACATCACACCAATTACTTATATTTATGAAATAAAAAAATTGACGCTTTTATTTTGAAATTCTCGAACATTTTTATTGAATTGAGTGTATAAGATGATTATGTGGCCAAATCTTGATCCGAATTTGGATGCATATATATGCAGGCATACAACTCTCGGGTATCGCAGCAGGGAGCATAGGGTTCGGGATCGGGGTGAGGATCGGGGAGGGGGGAGCACACGGGGTGCACCTGAAGCTGGGCATAGCGGCATTCAGCCTCGGGATATTGCAAACGCTGGCGATGTTCTTCAGGCCGAAGACCACCAACAGGTTCAGGAAGTACTGGAAATCGTACCACCATCTAGTGGGGTACGCCTGCGTGGTGGTGGGGGTGGTTAACGTCTTTCAAGGGTTTGAGTTGCTCGGAGGAGGAGAAGGAGAAGGGCATGGCATGCTCCTTTATTGCCTGTGCTTGTCAGCGCTGATTGGCGCTTGCGTGGCTCTGGAGGTAAACTCTTGGATTATGGCCTCCCGGAGACAAAGGTCGTCTGTGAGTGTGGGTGCCCCTGATCATGATAAATCCAGCACCTCTTTATAGCTATGCTTATGCTTCATTACTCCTTGTATGTTCAATGATCATGTAAATCTATTACTTCATTAATTAGGATGAGACTTCAGTATTTGAAGGAAGAAGTGAGAATTTGTTATGCTTTTCTCTTTGATTTTTCCCATTCTGTCATTCATTAATACGGAGTATATTGTTTGTAAACGTTGAGTTCAAATCTTCTATGACATACAGTGGCGGACCCACTAAGGGTCCCACGGGGTCCCGGGACCCCGTGGACCTCCAAAACAATACCTATATATATTTATATATTTGTTATATAAAATAAACTACTTATTGTATAAATACAAAAAAGCACTGAATTGCAATACAAAGATTGAAGCAGCGGACTGGGAGCAAGGGCACGCTGGATGCACTACGTCTTCGGAGGTGTAGGGATCGATTCCCCTGGGCATTTGCTCTTTTGCAACAAGAGATTCTTAGCTACTTTTTGCAACAAGAGATTTTACTACCCATAGTATAATTGTAACAATACACAAACTTAACATATCTTTTATGTTAAAGTAAGATTAAATTATTTTGCTACTGAATAAATTTATAGAAAAGGCTGAAAAATATTTGGTGCGGCCAATTAAATATAAGTGTAAAACATTCAGACATTAAGTCTAAATAAACATTTAAACCTTTACGTAATTAATGTGCACCTTTATTCAAGAAAAATAAAGTTTATACGTAGTATTACATTTGTAAAAATAAGACAGGATTAAATTATCTTGAACTTTTACAAGAATATTTTTCAAAATTCGAGATATAGAATATTGGTGTCACATGAAAGATCAAACAAATTATTTACTTTGATATATTTTTTTACTAAACAGAGCACACATAAAAAGGTGTAATATTTTTAATAAAAAAAATAGTTAGCCACATGTAATATCTTTCATTATGTACTTCAAAAAATGTGCATTAATTATGGAACATCATGCTACTTCTTTTTTATTAATTTTTTTATTGATTAGAGTTACATTGGAGTAGGGACCCCGTGACTCTGATTTTCTGGGTCCGCCACTGATGACATACCGTTTGAATATTTCGATTTTTGTGAAGTAATTAAAGTCTTGTAGTCTGTTTTGATTTGTCTTCTACGCCTACTTGTGTACACTCTATTTGGAGCTGACAAAACTATTTTTCTGCTTATCAAGCATATCAGCCAACTTTTTCACCAAACACGTAATTTTTGCTTTCGCACGCTGAATTGTATAATAAGCAGAAAAATAAGGCTGAAGTTACTTTTCTGGTTGTATTTACATATAATTTTTTACATATAATTTTTTCTTTATTTTAGTAATAAAATATATTTTTAAAATAAATTTTTGTTAAATCACCAGAATCAGCCAATGCATCCACTTCAGCCAGAACTTCATAAATTTCAGCAAAATCAGCCAAATCAGCCGATTTTTGTGCTACCAAACGAGCTCTTAGTTTTTTTTTTATACCAAGTACCAACTATTAATAATTAATTCAGGAAAGGTCTATGTAATGCTATCTGTCGATATAATTATATTGTTATTTTCCTTTAACTAAACTAAACAAGATTAGAAGGCGGAGGCGCCTGTCGTTGTGCTTGGGTTTGATATTCTCATATTCGGGAGCATGTTTTCGTCTTCGGATTCGAATCAGGGGAGGAAATGTTAGTTTTCATCTTTAGCTTTCACCCTTCGAGTAGTTACGAAGTGCCATGAGTGTTAGAATTAATTTGTATAGTTTGTACTTTTATTTGAGCCCATTGTTGTAAATTACGTAGGGCTCATATTTTAAACCCCACTCTTTGTATATTTAGGCTATGTTTGGCACACAAAAGCCTCTAGCTTCTAGCTGCTCTATTCTTTAAAAAGACGTTAAAAGATTCTAGTTGCATGTTTGGCATGACATTTTTTAAGAGCTTTTCAAAAATTAAAAGATCTTTTTTGAGATGCTACCGGGTGTAGCATCTGAGAAAAGCTCGTGACTTATAGTATTAATTAGTCCTAACAGCTTGTATACCAAACCAAACTAAATCAAACAGTCGGCTTTTTACTGAACAGCTATCAACTTTTCTTTTTAAGATCTTTTCAGTCACTAAAAGCTAACAGTTACTAAAAAGTTCACAAAAGTATCTTTTCAGCTAGTTGTGCCAAACATACCCTTATTCTACTGGGAACGTCTTTGTCAAATTATTTTATTTGTTTTACATCCTCGTAACTTCTGTTGATTTTCATTTTAGTCCATCACCGATTGTATCATTGTAATAATCTTAGTTTGACAACGAAAGTATGATATATACAACACTGACTAATTCATTTATTCTCATTTTTTGCCATGTGGTTCACAAAATATATTTACATTTTTACTTGAGAGGTTGTTACTACATGTTTTCAAAATGTAAAAATTTAAGTTTACATCGTTTAACTCTCATATTAGTCTAAAAAAAAATATTAGCACAAAGTTACAAGTTTTTATGCACCCAACAATAATTTCTTTTAAATAGATTGGTCTTGAAGTTTGAGATGAACTAAAAGTAAAATAATACGTAGTACATATTACCCGAATGAAAAAACAAAAGAGTAAATTATCTAAATAGGACAAAAAAAGTGGTCCAAGAGAACAACTAGGACTACATCTGTTTAATTCCCCCGGATACATCTATTTATATGTGTTTGGACAAATATACCCTTGTAGCTTTTAAAATGTCTTAATTAATAATAAAATCATAAAAAATTAAAATAAAAAAAATTAAAAAGAAAATGAAAAAAACACCGCCACCT